TCAAGAACATGGGGTTTATAAATATATTTTAAGTGCTCAGTATAAAATAAATCTATAATTCCAGATCACAAGTCAAAAATGATATCTTGCTTTATTTTGTTATTTGGAAGGCCACATACTAGTCTTCATGGCTTCTTAGCTGAAAATGGGAATAAATGTATTAAATATTAGCATAGTCATAAAGTCACATCACAGTCTGTCAGAGAAAAACCCTTGAGTTTATTTGGGAAATATATTTTAATAGAAATTAACATAATTTCAAAAAATAGAAGACATTATTTATAAAGGTTTTATTCATTGGAATTATGACATCAGCCAAACAATTAAATTCTAGCTGGGCTGTTCAGTAAATCTCTACAGTTCATGATGGACGTTTGCTGCTGATGTCCATCTCTTGGTGTTCTCATTTTATGTGGAGTAGTGGTGTATTCGATCATTGTATTCAACTTTAGAAGTATTCAGAAGTATTAGAAGAAATAAGCTTTCCTTCTAACATATACCTACTAAAATAAACACAGCTTTTTAAAATATTTATTTATTTTTACTAGAAAGGCAGATCAGGTTTACAGAGAGAAGGAGAGACAGGGAGACAGATGTACCATCCCCTGAATCTCTCCCCAAATGGCCACAACAGCCGGAGCTGAGCCAATCTGAAGCCAGGAGCTTTTTCCAGGTCTCCCATGCAGGTGCAGGGTCCCAAGAATTTGGATCATCTTCTGCTGCTTTCCCAGGCCATCAGCTGGGAGCTGGATGGAAAGTGGAACAGTCGGACATGAACTGGCACCTGTATTGAATTCTGGTGCTTGTAAGATGAAGATTTAACCCTTGAGCCATTGTGCTGGGCCTTAAATAAACATAACTATTAATGTAATTGGGACTACTGATGGATCAGCTGAGTGTCAAATATTTCATATGAAAATAAAGCATTCCTAGGGCCTGATCTTTTAGCCTGGAAGGCTCTAGGGAAATGTTAACAAAGCTGGCCATTGCATTGCATCTTTTCAGTTCTCATCAAAATTGACTGCTACCTGTTAACCATGCAACAGGACATGGGACTGCTGTTACCTTGAGCTCTTCATTTATTTTGACCATGATCTACTTGGTGTAGACACATTGTTGTTAAAGGAAAAAGCATGTCATGTAGGTTGCTAAAAATAAAAAGCATTTAAACTTTTAAAAAGTCCCTACAGGTGAATACAATGCCAAATTCTAGCACAGGCTGGCTCTTGTGAATATAGTAAAAAAAAAAACAAATCACATGTTTAGGAGTCTGGTTTCACCTCAAATTATTTACTCTCTGAATAGTTCATAAGCCAATGCAGGAACTTTGATAAATATTGCAAGTAATTTGTTTTCCTTCATGTTAAGAAAAGAGATTCAATTCATTAGAAAAAAAACATTTAATATAAATTATATGTTCTGTCCCAAGCTAGACAAATGCAGGATAAAAGCTATGGAATCTGCTAGTCAAAATTCTGTGTAAATTTGCCCACTAGGCGACACGGGTCAGTATCTGCAGACATCTTTGTTGTCATAGCGTGGAGGTTGGTTGTGGCCCTGAATCTGGGGGGCAGGTCTTCTCCCTCCAATGGCTCAGGAAAACCCCACACACAGCAGTCCAGCCTGCATCCCCAAATGTCACTAGCATCGTCAAGGTAGAATGCTAGGGTGGATGTGAACTCTGGGTAATCTTATTTCACGTTGACAGATTTTAAAGTACAGTGACCGTGACCTGTGTTCAAACTGATAGTACAATTTACGTTTTGGATGGCTTCAGTGAATTCCCCTTTAAACAATACACTCTTTATGTCTGTTCCGCGGCTCAGTAAGTGTCACTCTGTGGAGCAGGTCTAATGTTCAAAAGTGAATTGTGCTTGAAGAAGAAGAAGGCAGATTGGATATGAGCAGATACACGAAACCCACATGAAGCACAGCCCAACAGATCCTGAACAGCTTAACGCTTCTAATTCTGGAGGTGTGCAAACGTCTCTACATGGGCATCTGACGTGTCTGCCTCAGGATGGAATGGCTGGTCCCAATATGAGCCCTCCTGGTTCTGTTACGGACTCTGAATGTGGAGGAGAAAGGCCGTTATTTACACCAAGGCCTTGTATGGTCACCCCTTCTAATCCAACTGTCTCAAGTTCACAGGCATTTTGTGTTTGGCGTTGGCTTAGCGGTGGATCCCACGTTAGTTTTCATCATCACTTTGGCTCTGACCTTTGAAAGTAGAATGACCTAACATGGATATGTGAACTATGACTGGAGGAAACAAGTGGGAACATCCCAAAGCTCAGTTTTGGCTTCTGTTATGAACAGGAGGGAGGGGCAGAGTCTTCTTTTGTGTGGACTGCTTTGCCCTTCATCCTGAAAGACATCTTGCGTGTACTCTAGACACAGCCCTCACAGTCCCTGTGGGAAAAAAAGACAAAGGACAGCAAGAGGAAATGATCTCTTTGTAAAGCCTCTGAGGCAAGTACAGGAACGTGTTTGCAGCTTAGTAAAGTGAAAGAATAAGTTAGATATGCCTGGTGACATGGGCTCAATTTGCGGTTCTAGCACTTTCCACCCTAACTCCCTTCATTTTCCTTTTCTCTAATATGTTTGACAAAACATATCCTCATAGCCATCCACCCACCCACCTGTCGACTCAGATTTCCTTAGTGTGTAAGTGGGTAAAAAGTCTCAAAGCTCAACAGGCTCTGCGAATGGCAGTTGTTAATAGAAATGGTTATCAATGCTCAGATAGGATTCTGCAAGTGAGAGGCATCATGTATAGCATGTTCTGTGTGGTGTGTATTGGAACACGACAGGCCTTCGCGAACAGACCCATGCTTTCCTTCTCTGTCTCAGCTTTTAAGCCTCTTGCTTTCTACCTGTCCCCATTTGTTGCTGGATGGTCCTACTGATCTACAGGCATTGGTGCTTCTTGAGGTCTTGGTTCTTCTTCCAAGAGTGAGTTCCAGCCGACTTTCACAGTGTTCTCAGGATGTGTGGTCCTACACACGTCCTAGCTTCAGATAGCTGTGTGTGTGAGTGTCATGTGTGTAGATATAGGTCCCTGACCCCCACACGGGGACCTGGCTGACAGCCCCAGCCCCATGCAGTCCTGTCCCTTGCAGCCATATGAAGAATGAACTTGAGGATGAGACCTCTGTCTATGGATCTGTCTCTCTCACTGTTTCTCTGCCTCCCAGATCAATTTTTTAAAAATAATAAATAATATAATTACTTTGTGATTAAAAACATATTGGTATACTGGTAGTTTGGCTCATTTAGACTGGTAGGATTTATTGAGGTTCAAATGTGTCACATTTATTTTATAAGCAATATAAGTTTAATTGTATGTTTTCCACAAGATAGCAATGAAAAATTCTGTTCAAACACATGGTAGTGACAATGATACCTGGGAAGCCTGAAGAACTTACCATACGCCAAGGTTTACAGCAATCAAGTCCTTTAATCCTCACAACTTCAATACAGAAAGGTTCTCGGGGGCAGGTATCGTCACAGTGAGATGTGCAGGACCTGCTTCCAGGATGATGGGTTACTTCGGGGGCGGGTATCGTCACAGTGAGATGTGCAGGACCTGCTTCCAGGATGATGGGTTACTTCTAGCTTCGGTGTTACTCTGAGACAAGGAACTTCATCTTTGTTCGTCAGTTGCCCCGTCTCTCTTGACCTCTGTGACATTTTAGCTTCTCTTCAGCAAATGTTCAAAAGCGTGTCCCCCACTTTTAAACTTTCCTTTACTATCACATAGTTATATCTGTTTTTATTTTTTTTAAGATTTATTTATTTTTATTGGAAAATCAGATATACAGAGGAGAGAGGAAAAAGATCTTCCATCCACTGGTTCACTCCCCAAGTGGCCACAAGTGGCTGGAGCTGAGCTAATCCAAAATCAGGAACAAGAAGCTTTTTCCAAGCGCAGGGTCCCCACCCAGGCTCTGGGCCGTCCTCTACTGCGTTTCCAGGCCACAAGCAGGGAGCTGGACGGGAGCTGGAGCTGCCTGAACACAGACTGGAGCGCATATAGAATCTTTTTTTAACAGAAGCATTTTCATTAAGACAATTTCAAAAAGTAAGAAATGCTATTTGATGGTTTACTGCCTACATTTTAGCATCCAATAATCATGGATTACAAAGACGGGCTCTTTTATGTTCATATTAGCATTGGAGCTTAAGATACTTTAGTCCTCATATGAGTAAATTATTTCAAGTTTAATTTTCAGATTTAATTTTGTTTATAATCCTAACTGGTGCTTTTCAGTCAAAGGTGGCAGAATTAAACCCTATATGTTCTTTTTTACCTATATCTATCCTGGATTTGAATGTTCATTTCTTCTTCTTCACTGTTAGAGCCATTTAGTAGTTGATGTTATAATATGACTTTCATTGCTAGACATCACAAATCACCCTAGCTAGAAGTTAACTTAATCAAAATCCATAGAATACGAATAAAATGCCACAAGCAATTTCAATCCATTTAGAGGAATTTTTATGATTGAAGTACTGAACACAGGCAGGGGCTAACATTCTGGCACAGTGGGCTAAGTTGTGGGTTGTGACAGTGGTGTCCTGTATTGGAGAGTGAGGTCGAGTCCTGGCTGCTCCCTTGCAACCCAGCTTCCTGCTAGTGTTCTGGGAAGGCTGCAGACTACGGCCTGAGTGCTTGAAACACTGCCATCCATGTGGGAGACAGGGTGGAGCTTCTGCCAAGCCAAGGCCTGTTGTTTTGTTTTGTTTTGTTTTGTTTTGTTTTGTTTTGTTTTGCTTTGCTTTGCTTTGAAGATAACTGGGAAGTGAGCCAGTGGATGGAAAATCAGTCTCTCCCCACTCTCTCTTTCACTCTCTATGTCCTGTGTCTACCATTCTGCTTTCAAATAAATAAATGAGTGGAGAGAAAGAAAGAAAAAGAGAGAGAATGAATGAGCATGGATAAATAGTGTTCCCTGGAAGACCCGTCCTTATTTGACAGCCTCTCGTCTCTCTGACAGGCACCAGCATCTTCACAGTCTACGAGGCAGCCTCGCAGGAAGGCTGGGTGTTCCTCATGTACAGAGCCATCGACAGCTTTCCCCGCTGGCGTTCCTATTTCTACTTCATCACGCTCATCTTCTTCCTCGCTTGGCTCGTCAAGGTACTGGGGGACAGCGTCCCAGGGAGGCTTCACGTGCGGTGGTTTCTGCAGATCCTGGGCGTGCCCCTGAGTGCCCTCTGCCCTCTGCTCTCCACTGTTGGCTCCACGTGGCTTGTGCTTCCCTTTCAGAATGTGTTTATTGCTGTCATCATTGAGACCTTTGCGGAAATCAGAGTGCAGTTTCAACAAATGTGGGGTTCCAGAAGCAGCACGACTTCGACAGCGACCACACAGGTATGGAGGTGCAAGCTGGTGTCTTGGTTTGCTGGGCCATGAACACATCCAGTGCTCACGCTCAGCTCTGGAATTCAGGGTTTCTGCAGTCTGTCTCAGGGAGCCATTTAAAGATACAGATGCAGAAGTCAAAACTAACAATAATTTAATTAGACTGTTTTGGGCTAAGATCGTTTCTTTTAAACAAACAAACAAAACAAAACAAAACAAAAAAACCCATAGATGGTTTGGATGCAAAATCAAGATTGCCCACCACAATTATTGTTTGCCTTGGGGTGATTCTGACACTATAAGCTCTCACAGGGCTTGCAAATAAAATACAGCAATTTGAAATTTCTTCTTTGTAAGTCTTCATTCATGTGATCATAAGCATACATAATGTTCTTGTGTATAGGAGTAGAAATTTTTTAGAGTGAAAAATAGATTCTCTTGGAGCAAAATGATCACATTTGCAGGAAGAACTTTTAAGCCTAAATGAAAGCATGTGATTCTTGAGAAATTTCTATTTATTCTGAAGGGTTCCTTATAAGCGCCTGAGAAAGAGGAGGTGGCCTAAACTTTTCGCAAATGCATGGGAAACTTACTACCTATGGAACAATTCAGGTTCATGGTCTGTTTTTATTTTTGATTTTGGGTATTTGCTTTTGTGATAAGAGACGACGAGTTCACACAGCCTACTTTATGAAGGAGAAAAATTAAAAATTAAGACTCAAGAATAAAGTGGCTTTATACCTTACAACTATTATATTAATAAAAATTCTAGAAGAAGTTACCATAAGTTTGTTAATACTAATACAGATGTATTAAGACAAGGAATCTATGAAAGGGACAAAGTGCACATTTGACTTGGACAGTGTTCAAATTGGATTTTTAATGGCCATGTGTCCAAACGCTACTAAATGTACTAATGTTGGGGAAAAGCCTCATGATGCTGCAATAATTGGGATTTTATCTCCAGCTAATTACAAAGAAAATAGTGTTGATGTCATCCAGTTTTAACAAACAACGCTTCAAACTTTGATGAAAAAGTTGTTTATACGCTATGAATATTGTATCAGAGATGCCCCATAGAAAAGCCTTCAGGGAATCAAACACATTAAATTCTTACCTCTCATCTCTTCTAGTCATCTATGGGAAAGCATAAGGTTCAAGCCCTTAAGCAGGTGGCAACTTTTGGAAAAGCCAAGTTTTCTGTTTATAGACATGGAAACTCACATGGAACACACAACCTCCTGAATGATGATCTAACGTGTCTTTGAAACCCTACTGTGTTTACTAGGTAACTCAAGCTATAGAATCACAGCTGGAAAAGTGGCATTTGGAAACACCAGCAGTTATAATAGACAATGAAATGTGAAGCGACCTTGAGCAAACTTACACAAGATTATTTGGAAGCAAAATTGTACTTGATCAGGAGGCATAAGTTGGTAATTTAGGGGGAATCACAGAGAGAGATTTGTGAAAAACCTTCATTAAGAAAAATGCTGGGGCTAAATATCTGGTTGCCAAGCAACTGAAGCTCCTGCTGTGGACCTCTTGGTGAAACTGGGCAGGCAGCCTAGCAACCACTGACGCCCCGCCCACACCTCCAGAGCCTCTAGCTGGCGGCGCCAGATGCTTTCCTCCGTTTGGAAGGAAGGGACACTGGCTGTGGTTCTGTTTGTTACATTTGTAAACTGTAACTGACTTTTGTGACTTGGGCTTTTCCTTAAGTGGGTGACATGCTAAATTACACATGCTTCATTCTGATAAAACTCAGATAAATATGGTTATTACACGGTAAAGCACACTGCCCTTCAGACACGAATGAGGAAAATTTGCTGTTTTTGAAAGTCATTTTCACCAAAGGGGTCTACAGGGATCTCAGGCCTGTTGAAATTGCTGTCTCTAAGTCTAAAAATAGACATCTAATGAAGCTATGCGTGTGTTTACACACACACCAAAGACAATAGTTTACTAGGAACTGATTCAGTATGAACTGTTCAGAAACAGAGGAAAATCAATGATGAAAACCGTTTCTTTAGATTAACAAAGTGACATTTTCTACTCAAATGCTCCCCACCAAGTATCGCTGAGTCTCCGCTTAGCCACACTCTGCAGAATAACCCCGTCAGAGACCCGAGGGGCCCATAAGACAGCCTGTGGCAGAATACTGAAACACCGTGTGCCACGTTTCAAACCGGTCATCCTGTGTCTGCCTGCACTCGGAAGGAGCCTAAGGCCTGCATCCCTGCCTTTAAAGTGGACACATGCAGCTACTGCTAGCAACGTAGCGGTGGGTGGGATCAAAGGGCACACACTTCACTCCCATGATGTAATGATGTCCTGCATCAGGCCGCGATAGGACAAATCAAGCCACAGTCTGTAGGGTCTTGTTCCAGTGCCAGAGGTGGAGCTGTCCAGCTCTGGCTGGTGGGCACATTCCTGAACAGAGCATGTCCTGGACGAAAGCTTTTGCCCTCGTTGTTCAGGTGCTTCACCCCAGGCAGTCCTGGGGTCTTCTGACATAGACTAGCCCGTGCTAGAAATGAGCCTACTCCAACTTCACATAGAATGGAAAGAGCTGCAAGGCTACAGGCTCACGTGAAGTTGTTGTTCTGCTACCACGTAGCCTTGAATCTCTGGAAAGTTGTTATTTATTGTAAGTTTCAAAATCAGAACTAATAAAACTATTAAAATGTTTGAACCTATTGACATAGAAATATACTCACAAGATAGTAGCATCGAATAGGATTTGTTTTATATATGACAGTGGGCATGTATATGCTGTGTCACATGTGTACATGTGGGCACATTCTAACTGAAACCGTCTGAATTATTCGAGTTACATTCAGCTACAGAAAGCAAGAAGTCCAAAACCAGTGGTTCAAGTTAGATAGAATTCTGTTATCTGTTAATGTAAAATTGAAGGCGGCCATTTGGGGGTTGGTAGGGTTGGCTGTGTTCCCCCAGTCTCAGATGCCTTCCACCTTTCCGCCCCGTCTTGCTCAGCCTCCATTCACAAGCTTGCTTCAGGAGGAAGACGTCTAAAGCACCTCTGACTCGCTCCAGATTCCAGACAGTGGCAAGGAGAAATGTACGAAGTCAGAGAAAGTTACTGCCTGCATCCTGAAAGAAAGCAGAGGAGAGAGGAAAAAGAGGGGAGGGGAGCCAAGGGAAGAGGAGGGAAGTGGGAATGAGAGAAAAGAAAGTAGAAAGAATATTAACCTTTTCTGGTATTCTAATGGCACCATTACAGTTTTTACCTTGGAAGTTAAGAGGACTAGGCAGAGAAGGACAGCTGGCTGTCTGCCACATTCTCTGCAAGAATCTCATGAGTCTAGCTTCTTCAGGGAGGCTCAGCTTCTGCCTTCAAGATTGGCTGTGAGTCAGAAAGGTGTTTTATAATTCAGGGAACTAGAGAGATTGAACACGCATGCATTTCGCTTACTTTATTTCCTACAAAGTAATGACCTTGAGAGAACACTTTCACTGACAATTAAATTGACTCATTTGATTTTGGTTTACTGGAAAAAAAATGTTAACAGAGAAAATGAGTCTGCTACCCATCAAAGCAAAAATACACCCCAGGGATTCTTTATGCCCTGAGAAGAGAGTTTAGGCTGTACCAACAGAGGTTTCCAACGAGTGACTGGCAGGACTGTGTTTTGCCCTTTGTCCTTATTAAAGAAGACGCCCAGAATTTCTGACAAGGACTTTAAAAGGCATGGTAACAGGTGAGCGTTTCCGTGTTGCGTGCAGTCTTAGAAGGAGCCCCTTTGTGAGGAAGGTGCTGGTTTCCATCACCAGGGACAACTTCTGTAGTTCATGTCACAGGGAATCAGACGCCTGCAGATGGAAAACGGAAGCAACAAGTTGGCAATTGACGTGATTATCCCAAGAATCTTTGTGTAAATATGCACTTTGACTTTGTCATTTAGAAATTATGTGCATTTGCCACTTGTCTCTCAGCACTTTATTCATTTTAGGGAAAGTAGGTTTCCTTGTTTGTTTGTGTTTTTTTTATTAGATTTATTTATTTTTATTGGAAAGGCAGATCCACAGAGAGAAGGAGAGACAGAAAGATCTTCCATCCTCTGGTTCACTTCCCAAGCAGCTGCAATGGCCAGAACTGAGCCAACCTAAAGTCAGAATCCAGGAGCTTCTTCTGGGTCTGCCACACTCATGCAGGGTCCCAAGGCTTTGGGCCACCCTCAACTACTTTCCCAGGCCACAAGCAGAGAGCTGCATGAGAATTTGAGCACCCAGGATTAGAACTGGCACCCATATGGGGTCCTGACATGTGCAAGGCGAGGACTTTAGCCTCTAGATCACTGCACCGGGCCCTACATGTTTCCTCTTTACACATGACCTGCTTAGTGGGAGTTTGAAATCATGACTATAAATCTAGAAAATGGGATCTTGGCATCATTTGTTCACACTTCCGTTAACTACTTATCCCGAGTCAGACTGGCATGGAAGCATGAATGAGGACAGCAGCTGAGATGTGTATGGGTCACAAAGCAGTAACCCCAAGCAGAAGTATCAAAAGGTTTTGCCTTTACTGAGGAAAATAAGAATCCTGGGCCTCATCCTGTTCCCTTACTTTGCCTCCCTCTGCCAACACACACACACACATATACACTTCTAAGGAACTAGAAAGAAATGGCAGAATACTCATGAGATTGTCTTGCAGCTGGGTGTAATGTTGACAGATGCGTAATCGTTAAGGTGGTGGAATGTGCGGTTAGAAACTGGATGTCCAGTTCTATGGATTTCACATTTTATTTTAAGAGGCTTCTAAGAGCTCGCATTTCATCACTTACGTCTTCAAAGCCAAAGAAACCTACTTGTTCCATTTAAAACTATGTGCATAAAATATCTGTGAAGCCAATTAGTTTCACCCTAGTTAAAATAACTATATAAAAGCTGTTAAGTGATATGGCAGTCTCCTTCCAGTCTTTGCCTTTTGTCACATGCATGCCTCTTATATTTATCCTGAGAATATTTTTGTACTAACTAAATGAGGAATGTCTACTAGACAAAGAAAACATGCCACCTACAGTAAAACAAAATACACCAAACATAATGTTTCAGAATTTTAACTTTCATTTTTTTCCAAATCTGATAGTGAGTAATCGATGTAAGGGGGATAGGATTCTTTGTGTAGATTACTTGAGCAATTTTGTGCAAAGCCTAAAAGATAGGGTAAACAATCGTGATGCAAAACAATAAATTTGCTCAATGAATGCAAGTTCTTGTCATTGTTCTTGTCACTATTATTATTCACCTGAGTTTTAGAGTTAAAATGAGCATAATTGATATGACTCATGTTCCAAATATACTTTCAGGAGAAGACAAACCTTGATGGCGTAGAACTACAGAATGCAAGAGACAGAAGTTAGAGCTCCCATTGTTCCAGGTTCAATGGCTCTGACTCATCTTTCTTTTTGTCTTGAAGATGTTTCATGAAGATGCTGCTGGTGGTTGGCAGCTGGTAGCCGTGGATGTCAACAAGCCCCAGGGACGCGCCCCAGCCTGCCTCCAGGTATACTACCATGGGCGTTTTCAAAAGTGTAAATATGAATATAATTATGGAGAAAGCATCTTTTACTTTGATTCGTAGGAGTCCACAGCTCGCTAAGCTTTAGCTTGACCCTGATTCATGGCCCGAAAGTCAGAGACAGTATGACACTCCATCTCACATTTGCACATTTTTAAGGATAAGCTTTCTCAGTTTCTGATGTATCAGTGCCCACAGGTAAAAGTGTAAAAGTGTTTCAGCAGTATCAGACCAATGGGTAATTTTATTAAATTAAATCTCATAAAAACTGGTTTCCTGAGAAGGCCTGGGTTATTTGGGGTATGGCAGACATAGTCACACTTCAATCTGCTTCCTCACCAAAGCCTGGGAGGGAATATTTTGCCTTGTGTGGTCTGTTCTGTATCTGATAGCTAAGAGCAACATCACAAGAAGGTGCCTCCTTAGCAAACGCACCTGCAGCAAATGAGGCTGTGGGGTTGCAGGTGGAGTGCAGGTCTGGGCAATAGGCTCCCAGGGGAGAGGAGACTGGGCTCAGATCTTCTGTTCTGAGTGCCTCCTGATGTGGACCGCACTGCGTCTTGTCCTGTTTTGCTCCTATTTCCTGCCCACAAACATCAGTACTCAACGTGACATGACCTTAACTAGAGCAGGGGATTGACACGCCAGTCATTTCTGATTCTCTCTTCTTAGTTTTTCAGAACTTGGCTAAATGCACATTTATTCACATAGAAAGATATTCAAGATTTAAACATTTTATGGAAATACAAGAAATGTGTCTAAGTGCACAAGTAACTGAGTTTTTCCTGATCCCACTTATGACCAACAACCAAATTTAAAACAATACACGGCTAGTAGCCCAAAAGTCATTTGCCTCTTCTAACTGGAAAAAAGGAAAAAACCAAGCAGCCCACTTAGAAACAAGAACTGGTTCTTCCTCCTGGAGTATTATCTTTATCACCTATTGTTTTCAGAGACAAATTCTCTTCTTGCAAGTGGAGGTCCCACCCCATTCTAGCTTTTTCTCTGGCTTCTTGTAAGGAATGCTACAGTGAACACAGGAGTACAGCATCTGTGTGAGACCTTGCTTTCATGTGTTGGATATATAAACCCTGAAGTGAGTCTACCGGTGTAGTATGTGTTGACAGCTCTGTTCCTGACTTCTTGAAGATCCTCCCGACTGTGTTCGGTAGGGGCTGCACTGATTCACGTTCTCACTGCAGTTGCGCAAGGGCTCTTTCCTTTCCACATCTTTGCTAACGCTTCTCTTTTCTCTTTGTGATAATCGTCTGTAGCAGGTGGGAAGTGATGATAAGCACCTTTTCAAACGCCTGTTGGACATGCATTTGTCTTCTTTGGAGAGATATCTATTTAAGTTCTTTCTCCATATTTAAATCACGTTATTTGACTTTTTGTTTATTTATTTATTTATTCGTTTTGCTGTTGAATTGTATGGTTTCCTTGTGTGTTTTGACTATGCTTCCCTTTACAGGCATCTGATTTGCCATTTTTTTGATGTTCCCTAGGTTGCTTTTTCCTTTGGTTGACCATTACTATTCATTTGTATTATTTTGAAAATATGAAGCATTGTCTTGTGGGTCTTCTTCTATATTTAATAATGATGATGCTGCCGTTATACAACTGCAAGTTTGTGGGAAATAGATTGAAAATACTGTTGGTCTTGGCGTAAAGATTTTGGAATTCATGATTTTTGAAATACACAACAATTCCACTTCCATTGTCCATTTACTGAGTATCAACTATATGCTAGACATGATAGTCCTATACATGACAACGACAGCTCCTACTCTTCTGAGGCTCACAGTGGACATGGAGGGCAAAACACTTTAAGGGACCATCTGCAAGAGCAATAGAGACTTAGAAATGAGGAATGCCAGTGTGATGGGAATATATAATTTGAATTTTTCTCTTGTGAAAGACAAAGAAATCTCTTTCTTATGAAGATCTCTCATGAAGAAAGAGATTAATGATGAAGTTTGCTGTACCTTCATAGTGCAGAAATACTGGTACGTATCAGCAGCCACTGCTAAGAGAAAGTTTAGAAGTTACTTTAAATATTTTTTCAGTCTTCAGAGAAACTGGGAGAGTGTCCCAAACTAAACCCTCAATCAAATGGAGAAGACAAGATTAACATCTGTTTCTTTTGATTCCAGTGTCTTGTTGTATCCAACTGGGAAAACACTCAAGAAATCATGCATTTGTGGTAGAAATAAAATACTGGGGCTGCTCTAAGTGCCAAATCAAAATCTTTAGGACTCAGGACTCGTTGCTTTATCTATTAAAAAAGCTTACTAACAGATGCCTCAAAGTTGCAATCTGGAATTAGAAGGCAAGCCAGCTCATTTTTCACTCAGATTTGAGAATGACAAAGGAGAAGGTGTCAAATGTGGTAACAAAACTTAGTGCAAAAGCACCCTAGTCAAGCTCAATGTGAAAGGGTGAGAAGCTGGGCTTGAAGGGTGTGGGGTGTGAGCCCTGAGAGACCTGTATGCGAGATGTGAATTATGAATAGGGCAGCATCCTTGGTAAAGTTTCAGGAACGGTGACTCCTGTGGTTAGAAACAAGGAGAAAGAAAGGCATACAATTGAGCAGGGAGGAATTTCTGGTGAACCCAACTTCACCAAGCTTTCCAGAAGGAACTAGCATTATAGTGCGTGGATGAAAAGTGAGATGGCCAAGAGGCTAATTATAGTGACCAAGAACTCTAAGTAGGTAGAAAGTTTATTCCCTTGAATATTTTAAAAAAAAGACTTAAGTAAAAGTTGACTGAAAGGAAAAAATTAAAAAATATTTTTCATGAAATGTTTGCTGGCTGTTAATGATTAATACTAGCTAAAGCCAGGTAACAGGAAACTTTTCACCTGAGCCATCTTCTCTCTTTCTCTAGGCGTATAATGATGTGTCTCTCCCCAGGACAAGCAGTAGTAACCCATGCCACTTCTTCTAATTTTAAAACAAACAAACAACAAAGTCACAGTGCCCTCACTTCTCATGCTAACTAATAAAACCTAAAGGAAAAGAACTTATTCTCCTCAACTCCTGTTCAACCTGCTGTCATTCATTCATTTCTTCATTCCGCTTCTGGGTCCAGTTTCCTCAGCCCCCTGCGCTCGTAGGTTTCATCTCTTCTATGAGACCACCCTTCCTCTCCCGGAAGGGCTCTGACGTTTTCACAGAGCTTTTCCTCTTCCTACAGTGCTCTCAGAATCGCCCGTCAGCCCTGGCTCACGCATCACTTCAGAAAAAAAGCTGGTCTTGTGCCCCCAAAACACATCAAGCACTTTACTACTTATTTCCATATTATCCTATGCTTCTTTTGTGTTTATTACGATTTTGATCAAAATAAATCAATGGTTCAATTCATTATCAAATATCTGTTTCTCCAGCCAGAGAAGAGCTCGTGACAGTGGAAGCCATCCTGTCCTGGTCATGGTTACAGCTTGCCTTACACAGGGCAGACACCAATCCAGAGAAAAATGATATAACACCATCTTGGCTTATGAAAGTTATTTTTATTTCCCTCATGTTAAAGCTGTTCAATTTGTTGTTTGTTCTTTTGATCTGTCACCAGGAACTGGAAGTTGAATGGATTATGCAAAGAAAAAAAAACCACCATTTCTATAAACATTATGTATTTCTTTGTGCATGCCTTTGGCATCTGAAAGATGCAGGTCTTTTCCGATTGTCTCTAGAAATTACCTTGCAAAGTTCATATGATCTTGGAAGGATTTATGTTAACTTATCCCTGTGTTGGTAAAGGCTTGATCAGGCAGAGGCATGCCATTGGACTTCTGTCATTTTATGTTGTTCAGGATTCTACCATATTCCTCAGCATGTGAAATAAATATGATGATGTTTAGAGATAAAATAGCATAGCTGAAGGGAACTCAGGCCAACTCTAGCTTAACAAAAGCACCAAATTTGTTGGAATGAAGCATTTAAACAGCTATAATTAAATTGAGTTTGTAATTTGGCAATTCTTGGAATAAGTGGGGAAAAAAATAGATATCAGTGATATCTGCAATTCAGAAAATTGATGATTCAGAGTCCCTGTTTGGCTATTGGAAATAGTTGATTTTACCCTTGGAGCAAAACTAGTGTTAAATATGACCCAAATCCCAAAATAGAAGGTACTGGGTGAAAATCCACACATCCTCATCCCACTGTAGAAGAGAATGACTTGGCAGCACAGGGCTTTCATTGCTACCTGGCAGTCACTGGCTGCTTTGGGACTCCTGTGCTAACACTGGAGCTGTAGGCATTTATCCACAGATTCATACTTTTTTTTCTTTTGCTCAGGGTAGGAAAAATATTTATCTGCCCAACAGAGGCAAATATAGAGACGTGGAGTCAATCAGGGGGTTCCTGGAGCTGAGACTCAGGAGGAAAATTTCCTGGAGGGGGACGGGAGAGGCTTCTTAGGATGCTGATGAATGCACAACCATGTGTATTTGCCGGTCATTGAACTGCGCAGCTTCAATCCAACAGCTTTTATGGTATTAGAAATGACATTTCCATAAAGCTGTCACAGATAAACAAGAAAAATTTATTTATCCATGCCTATTGTAGGAAATAGTTAAGTCATAAAGACATACATGCACAAATAAATACCAAGTATTTTAAAATGTTGTGCTTGCAATGGACATTTTTTGAGAGGTGAAGCCTGTCCCCATGTGTTTGATACATCACTGCGTCCGCTGTCTCGTTTACATTACCTGCTGGGGGACTCATGAAAGACATTACGGTAATATAACTTCAATCACAGAGGTAGTACAATACTAGTATGTAAGTTTCAATATTAAATGGTAATTTTAAAATCTCAATTCTGCATACTTGGAGACTGGCTCAACTCCATTTAAAAATAAGGACAATAGAAATTATCTGTATCCCATCTCAGGATGAATTGCTTCGTAGTCTTCATGTTTCTTCACTGGTATCATGTCTTAAAATGCTCACTTTTTCTTCTGCTTTCTGTTATCTTGTC